ACTGGACTGACGCTTTTGACAATCTTCTTATTTAATGCTTTATCTATCACATTGCAGGAGGAGAGTCCCTGTTCTCTGTTTCCCTAACTACAAGATTATCTGTTTAAATACTACTCTATTCAGAATAATTGTAATATTAAATAATCCTTTAAATTGGGATGGTTTGTCTGAATTAATTTTAGTCGGCATCACACTCTAGCCATGACAATTACAAATACTGAAACTGAAACTACTTTTATTGCCATTGTACATGAGTACAATGAAATTAGATGTGCCACATCTGATCAGATATAAATAGATATAGATACAAATATTATGTTATAAATTAAGGAACTTGCAAAATATTTTCAGCACTCTTTACAGTACATGAATACATGAAAAGGTACTCAGATATTCTACATACTGAAAACAAAGAATGGAGCCTCCACACCAAGGTGGAAAGCTATGTGCATGTGGCATATGTGTCTGCCACCACAGTAATAGCACTGCACCAAACACAGGGCTCCGCTTGCCCATTAGAGGCTGGCTCTCTCGATACCCTGATGAGCTGGGACTCTCAGAGAAACCCCGATTAGTTTACATGGGAGCATTTGCTTACCTCTTCTACACTCACAGATCCTGGCCTGGTGCTGAGAGGGCTTGAAAGGGCAGGAGAACTCCTTCCTTCTTCTGTCTCCTTTCCTGGAATTTTCTGCTCCTTCTCTTTTTCTGGCATCTCTGTCTCTCTGCCAGTGAAAGGACAATAAAACATCCCCAGAGTTAAGCCTTTATTTTCTCCACAATGGAAACCAAACTGTTTCAAAAGGACATGCAAATAATGTACAGTTGTTGAAACATAGGAAGGCTCCTTGAGGAATGAGAAAAGGCTACAAATATGAGGGAATTGTGGTCTAGCTTCAAGAAAATAGACAAATAAAGCTTCATCATGTCTATGAGGTATATACCCTACCTGCACACAGAAAATGCAACCAAGAGAAAATTATATAACCAACCAGTATATCATTAACAAATACCATAATATCCAAATGAGGAAGCAAATCTTTAGCACCCATACCCCAAAGAACTCTGACTCTCATTTGCTCTCTGTTCCACTCACCCTTTCCCTGTGGGATCAGACTATTTGCGTCCATCAAGTTAATTAAACAGTGTTCTACAATTAAGAGGAATTGTAATAGGCAAGCAGCAGGAAACAGGTCAGGACAGATTGCAGTGAAGTGCTGAATAAACATGGACAAGACTGAAGGAGAATTAGTGAATGACCCCATCTCAAAGCTGGGCTGGTCAAGCTCTATATTAAATCACTGAAGACTGACTGCATTATTGCCTTAGTGAGTCTATATGTGTGAGTGAATGTGTGTGCGAGACATTCAGAGTGTGCATACATGTGCTATATGTGAGCATTCAAGCCTGCACACACATGAGTCAGAGTGCCCAAGAATGCTACAATACTGGTGTCTCAGCTTGTAATCAGTGTCAGGATGCAACCAGCAGGGGGCACTGTTGTTTGTGATACATGCTGTGTTAAGGGACACACTGGCCTGATGTCTGCCCCTGGGAATCACAAATGACTAGGTCCAGCAATGCAAGCTGAGAGAAGCAGCATATTATGTACACCAGTGTCTTCAAAAATAGGGTGTGTTTTTAGCGGACAAGAGTTTCTAAGAGTCCATAAAAACAATTTTTCCCCCTGTGGAAAAAAAAGCTTTTTTAAATGTGAGTCTTTTAAGAAAGTTTAAAACTCACTGGTCTGGGCAAAGGAACAAATGGTGAGACAGCAGATGATGACTCTGCAAGAGTTCAGCTCAGAACAGAAACAGCCAACTCTGACATATCAGTCTCTCTCTCCCTTCTATTTATTCCTTCATGAACACCATGGGTGTGACTGTGTTTTCCTATGTTCAGCTTCACTAAAATCTGCACACCAAAGATTATTAAACCACAAGCATCTCACTTAAAGCAGTCTGTCAGAAAAAAGGAGGGATGGGGAATGAGGCTGAAAGAGTATAATACTGAAAAATGTATACTGTATGTATACAAATTACTTCTAAGGTTACAGTTTGAGTCAGTTTGTTCTATATAGTGAGGACCAAAAAGGTACTTTTTAACTACAGAGTGAGGACATTTGTGCAACATGAGGACATTTTGGCCAGTCCTCACTTTATGAAACAGCTTTTTGAGGGGGGTCAAGACTTGGTTTTAGGGTTCAAGTTAGAATTAGGTTTAGGTTAGAGTTAGGCATTTACAAACCCCAATTTCAATGAAGTTGGGATATTGTGTAAAATGTAAATAAAAACAGAATACAGTAACTTCCAAATCCTTTTTGACCCATATTTAATTGAATACACCACAAAGACAAGATATTTAATGTTCAAACTGATAAACTTTGCTTATTGCAAATATTCACTCATTTTGCCTGCAACACATTCCAAAAGAGCTGGGACAGGGGCAACAAAAGACTGGGAAAGTTGAGGAAGGCTGAAAAACCACCTGTTTGGAACATTCTACAGGTGAACAAGTTTATTGGAAACAGGTGAGTGTCATGATTGGGTATAAAAGGAACACCCCAAAAGGCTCAGTCATTTACAAGTAAGAATGGGGTGCTGTTCACCAGTTTGTGAACAACCGTGTGAGCAAATAGTCCAACAGTTTAAGAACAACGTTTCTCAATGTAGAATTGCAACGAATTTAGGTATTTCATCATCTACAGTCCATAATATCATCAAAAGGTTCAGAGAATCCAGAGAAATCTCTGCACGTAAACGGGAAGGCCATAAACCAACACTGATGACATTGTTCTGTAAAGGATATGACCATGTGGGCTCAGGAACACTTCGAAAAACCACTGTCAGTTAACACAATTCGTCACAACATCTACAAGTGCAAGTTATAACTCTACCATGCAAAGTGAAAGCCATACATCAACAACAGACAAAAACACCGCCGACTTCTCTGGGCCCGAGCTCATCTGAGATGGACTGATGCAAAGTGGCAAAGTGTGCTGTGGTCTGACGGGTCCACATTTCAAATAGTTTTTGGAACTCATGGATGTCATGTCCTCCGGGCTAAAGAGGAAAAATACCATCCAGATTGTTATCAGCGCAGAGTTCAAAAGCCAGCATCTGTGATGGTATGGGAGTGTGTTAGTGCCCATGGGTAACCTGCACATTACTGAAGTCTCCATTAATGCTGAACAGTACATACAGGTTTTGGAGCAAAATATGCTGCCATCCAAGCAACGTCTTTTTCAGGGACGTCCCTGCTTATTTTGGCAAGACAACGCCAAGCCACATTCTGCACGTGTTACAACAGCGTGGCTTCGTAGTAAAAGAGTGCGGGTACTAGACCGGCCTGCCTGCAGTCCAGACCCGTCTCCCATTGAAAATGTGTGGTGCATTATGAAGCGCAAAATACGTCATTGCAGACCCCAGACTGTTGAGCAACTGAAGTCATACATGAAGCAAGAATGGGAAAGAATTCCACCTACAAAGCTTCAACAATTAGTGTCCTCAGTTCCAAAATGCTTATCAAGTATTGTTAAAAGGAAAGGTGATGTAACACAAGTTCACCTGTGGAATGTTCCAAACAGGTGGTTTTTATTATTATATTTACAGGACCCCTACACTTTACTATGATAAACTTTCTCCATTATTAACACATTCTCCAGGATTTCCAACTACACAATAAACAGGAATAAATCCGTCATATTACCACTATCTGAAGATGCCTGGGATTCTGCAGCTCAAGACTGCCCCCTTCCACTTCACACTGGCAGCATTAAATATTTAGGTATCAGTATTTCCCCCAGGCTGTCAGAGTGTTTTAACTTCAACTACACCCCTCTGCTAAAACGCTGGACCAACCTCCACTTTCACTCATTGGCCGAATTGCTTCAGTCAAAATGAAAACCACAAATTAACTATCTGTTTTCAATGCTTCCAACAACACCCACAGATACATGGTTTACAGTAAATAATTTGATTCTCTAGCTTCACAATTTTACTGGAATAACAAGAAACCCAAAATTTCCCTGTCAAGACTCCAGAAGAAGAAATCACAAGGTGGCCTAGAGGCACCATATTTTTAGCATTATTTATTAGCAAATCAACTACAATATTTAGTTACATGGATTCAGAAGGATAGTTGTAATAGTTCATGGATAGAACTAGAACAAAATCAATGCAAAAATACTTCAGTTGCAGACCTTGTCTTCCTACCATACCCAATTAAGAAAATGAACTATTGCAAAAATATCACAATCTCTGCAACTCTGACAGCCTGGTGGAAAGCAAACAAAACCACTAAATCATCATTAACACCATGTAGATACACTCCAATTTGGCACAACCCTGATTTTCAACTGCATAACAACCCTGTCCACTTTCCAACGTGGCAACACAAAGGAATCACTCACCTTCATCACCTATTTGAAAACAACCAGCTTATACCGTTCAATACATTAGTCCAGAAGTATGGAGTTAGGAGAGGAGAATGTCTCCAGTAACAACAGTTAAAATCCATAATTAAATCAAAGATCAATATAATCAATAACCCACTACAACCTTCCATTCTAACTGAGGAGATAATGAAGTTTACAAACTCAAAGACAAGGACGTTGCTGTCCTGGATCACCTGGATGACCTCCAGAGCTCCCCAAACGATGGCATCACCTCGTGCTGGTGGTTCGAGGAGGGGGCATCACCCCCCCCCTGTAACCTAACCTACAGTAAGCAGATACAATGTAGAATCATGGCCAAAAATATCGACATGCCTGAATTTCTGTCAAGTAACGCACCACTTCTCCCAGAATATTGTTGTAATCACAAATTCTTTGGTATTTTCATGTTTATCTTTTTTGTTTCCATTGGAACAACAAAAAATCAGAAGGTCAGCTTGAATTTGTTTGGAAGTTGATCAAGGTTCTTTATCCACCAGTCAAACAATCCTTCATTGCAATCTGTCATCTGTTCTTCTCTTTTGTCCACATCCAGCTACAGCGCTAAGGGCTGTAAGCTTCTTGACAGTGTTGTGCACAGTGGACACAGGAACAGCCAGATCTCTGGAGATGGACTTGTAGCTTTGAGATTGTTCATGCTTTTCCACTACTGTGGTTCTCAAATCCTCAGACAATTCTTTGCTCTTCTTTCTTTTCTACATACTTCTCTACTCTCTCTTAGGAGAGAGTGTCATTACAGGACTTTTACCTGCCACGAAGTCTGTTACACTTTCATATTGCTGCTTTTACTCAAGTAAACAATCTGACTAAAACTCTTTAGTTAAGTGTGATTCTAACAATATTCCCCTAATACTCTTGACTGTTACAAAAAGAGGAGTTGACCTCATAGCATAACAGTAGCATGTCTGACTCCAAATCACCATCCAGAAAGTTGTGTGTTCAAATCAATAGTGTTAATCTTGACTGACTAAGATGGCACCATGTGTATCTGGGGACATAATTATAGTCAATAATGCTTCTATTCTTCTACCTATGGTAGACATTTTCAAACAAAAATGTCTTGATCACACATAAATCAAAACAATAATAAACAATAATATATGTACAGTAAGTCTACAGTCAAGTCAAACAGTTCTACAGTACACACAATTCCTTTTGCAAGCGACAACACAAAGCAGCCAGCTTGCATGCCAAAACAGGAAAACTCAGTCTGATTCTAACCCTTGTGCTGTCTGAAAAAGTAACTTTACAGACTTAAAATACAGAAAAACAAGCACAAAAAGTTACTCAAGATCGTTATTTCATCATTGCTTCATTGCCTCAGTATATCTTGGCTTAAACTCAGCACTAGGTGTTCTTAGTTGTGAGTGATCAGATAGTTACTCAGTTGTCCAGTAATTTAACCTATCATGCATACAAGTAGCTACAGTGCAAATATAAAAGGTGGAATGAGCATAAGCTTTCTAGTTTACTTCTTGCTGATATAGAGACCTCAAGATGGAGAAGTTACAGTATTCATTTGTATTGTATGGCCTCTATCTATCAGTGGAATTCACTGACTGAGAGAGTTAGCTCTAGTGAAATTCCCCTCTCTATGGCCTGCAGTATAATTACTGATAGGGAAATAATTACTATAGTTGAACATGGCTAGATAGTGCAGGTTTTGTAAGCAAGAGTGAAAGACTTCAGAGAGCATATGCCATTTAATTAGAAAGACAATTAAAGAGAGTGTTAAGAGGTCACAATCTA